ATTTGGGCGGCGTTATGCAAATCTTCCCACATCGGGATGTAGACATGTGGGGGCGTGTTAGAACGAGCCGTTTTAGGTAGGTGTGGCTGACTCTTAACTTTTATAAAGAATATCTCTTTGGATTTGAGACTTTAGTCTTTGCAACTTTACAGATCTTCTTTATGCACCAAGAGCTTGTAACACTTCAAAGAGAAAGGAAAAATTGAAATCGCATCATTATGACCCCTTTAACTGAATGCTGTACCTCTTGACACCGAGCTTAATGAGAGAGTAGAGAGAGAAAGAATAATAGTAATGGGCGCAAAACAGAATATTAGCTAAAGAACAGAGAAAAACAAGTATGAAAATGTCAAGAGAGAGAGAGAGATGTAGCTCTTAAACAGAATCTTTATCAATATAAAGCAATTAGACCAGGAGATACAAGCAAAGACATTAAGATACATTTTGTTTAATTAGCTAATCTGTTTAGAACTTTTATCTGTAAATTGTTCCTCAATGCTTTGAAAACACCACAGGATGTCACGCTTATTGTCAGAGGAAAATAAGAGAGGATGGCATTGTGAAGAAGTCTGTGGTTTGGACCTGAAAATAATAGCTCTTAGATTAACTGCCAAATTACGATAATTAGATATCATTATAATAAATCATTTTCCAGGTTGATTATCATTCCAACAAAATTATTGTAATCACATGGGTGCAAATGAACTCACGTCTACATCTATGTTGTGCACCTTTTTTAGTCATTTGCATTGTACATGTAGTGTTAAAAGGATAGTTCACACAAAAATGACAATTCTGTCATTTTTTACTAACCTAAAGTCATTTCAGTCCTGTATGAGTTTTATTCTTCAGTGGAACAAACAAGGAGATGTTTGGAAGAATGTTCACACTGTTCTTTTCCATACAGTGAAAGTAGATGTGAACCAGAGGCTGTCCAGTATGGTGGCCCAGTAGTGCACAACACAACAAAATCGCCAAAACACAATGCATAGGACTAATTTCAATGTGTTGTGGTAATTTCGCTGTGGCTTGTTTCTGTTGTGTTGTGCTAATTTCATTGTTGCGGCTTGTTTTCGTTTTGTTGCGACTTGTTTCCATTGTGTTGTGCTAATTTCGTTGTGTTGCGGCTTGTTTTCATTGTGTTGCAACTTGTTTCCATTGTGTTGTGCTAATTTCGTTGTGTTGCAGCTTGTTTTCGATGTGTTGCGACTTGTTTCCATTGTGTTGTGCTAATTTCGTTGTGTTGCGGCTTGTTTTCATTGTGTTGCAACTTGTTTCCATTGTGTTGTGCTAATTTCGTTGTGTTGCGGCTTGTTTTCATTGTGTTGCGAGAACTTGCGACTTGTTTCCATTGTGTTATGTTAATTTTGTTGTGTTGCGACTTGTTTCTGTTGTGTTGTGCTAATTTCATTGCGTTGCGACTTTTTTCCGTTATGTTGTGCTAATTTCATTGTGTTGTGACTTGTTTCCATTTTGTTGCAGCTTGTTTCCGTTGATTTGTGCTAATTTCGCATAAAAAAACACCATAACAATAGTCTAAACTAAAGGACTTTCTTTTGGATTACAAATTCCATGTCTTCTGAAGGCATTTACTAAATTCCTTGCCTTGACAGCTGTGGTCACCATCCACTTTCACTATATGGGAAAAAAGCAGCTTGGATGTTCTGCTATAAACATCTTTTGTCTTCCACAGAAGAAAAAGAAACGTGGGATTCGGAAGGCATGAGGCATGTATAAAAGATGATGAATTTTTCATTTCTGGGTGCACTATTCTGCATATCCTTGCATATGCAAGATGTTTGACTAATTGTACGTACTGAAATATTACGTGTCTTGATATTACAAATTGTCTGTGAAGTTGTCCACTACACCCATGACCTCTCTCGAGCAGAACTCCCTCCAGTGCACATGCTCTCCGTAAGATCACAGTGAAACACGTACACCATACCATAGCGCACTGAGGGACTGCTGAGATGTTTCTATGGCAACCTGCAGCTTGCTCCACTAATGAACTGGTTGCCATGGTGATGGGGATTGGCTGTGTGCAAAGTGAGAGACTGAATAACAGAGGGAGGAAGAAATTTCACACTTCTCTGTGCCACTACATGTACACACACACATACACACATACAAGAAGACAGTGCAGGAAACTGGTTGTTTCGGACTTAACCCCTCAACACAGCCACGAACCAATCACAGCAGCTCCTCAAGGTCAGAGGAGGGGATTTCTTTCCAGCACTCTGCTGCAGGGCTGTCCCATTTTCACAGTTCCTGGAACAGCGCTGCTGTCCCTAAATCCAGCTCGAAGCGACCATGTCCCTTAGCCTGGAGCTTGTGCTCAAGCTTGTAGGCTGCAAGGGATTTTAGGCGATGTTGTAGCAGGAACCGAGCTGTCCTTTCCGAGTGGGGTGTGTCACAAATCACGTCGCAATTCCTATTGCGGTACCTGGGCAGGCTGTGGATTGTGGCTGTTACTGCAGGCTAATTAATAAATTAGCATTGCCATTTAGCGCTACCAGGGTGACTAAAGACTCAAATTGGATGTTAATGAAGCTGATGGACAATTGCCGGTGTTGTGCCCAATTCTGACCCACGCCAGATTATTACCCCCCAGTATTGGTAGGTTTAGGTGTGGGGGAGGGGTTAGGATTAGGGGCGGGGTTAGGATTAGGCAATCAGGTAGCAATTTCAACGAGGGGGGTAATAATTTGCCAGGGGGTCGAAAATGGGCACAAAATGGGCACAACACCGGTCAGGGGTCTGCAAATCCGAAAAACGGTTATGTTTCACATCACACGAATCACAACGTCTCCCTCTAGTGCACATCGGACAGAATTGCATTTTTTTTTTTGTCTCTTTAGGGTAAATAAGGATAAATAGTCATTCATAGTAATAATAATTGTTTGGTAGTTATTAAGAAATTAAATTAAATTAAGCATGTATATTTTATGTAAATAAATAATGTAAAATATATGAAAAATTAATTTTAATAAATATAATCAAAAATATAATACACACTACTGTTCAAATGTTTGGTGTCTTTTTTTTATTCAAAGAAACTATCATTTTTATTTGCAGCTTTTATTTGAAACTGTTAATAATACGTTTGAAAAATAATATAAAATGTTTCTTGTGCGTTACTTTACTAGTTACTTGAAAAAAGTAATCTGATTATGTAACGCGTTACTTGTAATGCGTTACCCCCAACACTGCTAATGATGCTGAAACTTCAGCTTTGCCATCACAGGAATGAACTACATTTTATAAAAGAGAAAAACAGAAAACAGTTATTTTAACTTGTAATAATGTTTCACAATATTGCTAGTTTTACTATATTTATGATTAAATAAATGCAGCCTTGGTGAGCAGAAAACATTTATTTCAAACTTCTTTCAAGAACATAAAAAAAAATCGTACCAACCCCAAAGCTTGGAATGTTAGTGTCTATAATATAAATAAAAAACATACAAAAAACATAAATATTATAAATATAAATATCTGAAATGTAATATTACAATATAATATTTGGTCACACATTATTTTAAGGTCCAATTCTCGCTATTAACAACCCATTAACTGACTTTTGCCTCAATAAACTCCTAATTTGCTGCTTATTAGTTGTTAAGTTTGGGTATTGTGTAGGATTAGGGATGTAGAATATGGTCATGCAGAATATGTGCTTTATTATTAGTACTAATAAATAGCCAATATGTTAATAATAGGCATGCTAATAAGCAACTAGTTAATAGTGAGAATTGTTCCCTATGCTAAAGTGTTACTTTATAATATAATATAATATAATTTAATATAATTTAATATAATATAATATAATATAATATAATATAATATATGTATAATCGTTTTGTTAATCTAACAGCCATTTTTTTCTCTCTCTGTTTTTGTAGAAGTGTCTGAGGTTCAACCCTGATGCAACCGTATGGAAGGCAAAGCAGCAGGTGCTGTGCAGTCTAACCGAATCTCTAAGGGATGTATTAAACTATGGTCTTTTCCAACCTGCTACTGATGGGCACGATGCCAAGTTCCTGGAGGAAGAGAGGCTGCTCCGCGAATACCCACAATCCTTTGAGAAAGGAGTACCCTACCTGGAGGTACCTTTCCTTTTATTCTCCTCTTAATTTTAGGCATTTTTGTTTACTGTCTTTTTTTTTCTTCTTTCTTGTTCTATAATTGAATGTGAATGTTGGTGCTAGGAAACTGCTGCTTCAAATTGTTTGTTGCCTAGGTGATAATAATTCTTTAAGCGGCTTCTCTGGTAACTATGAATCCTAATAACCCTGATATGGTTCATTGGAGATTTGTCTTACAATGTAAAAAATGTAAATGCTTTTTTATTATTTGTAGAGCACAAGGCAATTAATATTATACCACAATAATCAAATCAATGTCTAATTAATTCACAAGAACCCCTTTATATTGAAGTTGATAATAGGGGTTGGCGATATCACTTATTTTTTTATTATTTATATACTGTTAGTATTTATTATTATATTAATAAATATTTAAATATTTTATTTGTATATTTTCTGATTTTTTTTCTTTTCTTTTTTTTTAGTAATTGTAATACTTCTCGCTTAAATATATTTGTTTCAGTTAGTTGCCATGGCAACATTTCTAATTGACATAGTTTTTTTGTTTAAGTGTTTGATCTAATATTAATATTTTATTTTATTTTGACTTTATTTAAATTACTTGTAACTATTTTTTAATAGTTTAATTTTTTTATATTTTGGTAATTTAAAATAAATAATAAAACAAATGAAACGATTTTAATAGTTTTGGTTTTAGTGAACATTGATCAACACAACAATACTATGAATTGTGCCATAAACAGAAGTTAGTCCACCTAGAAAAGTAGTCCTGCCTCAGAGAACTTTACTAATCACAAAAACTTTTATTTTGAAAAATTCCTGTAAGGGTTTTAAAAAAAGACCAAACATTTTTGCTTTTTAACTCTCCTTATCTTACATTAGCCCTCCTTACATTACTGTAAACATTTTTTTCCCTCCACAAACTGATGGAAGTTTCTTTGACAGCTCCCAGATAACTGTCTTCCACTGATTTTGGCTGTTTTTCTTTCACACAGTTCCGCTACAAAACCAGGGTGTACAAACAGACGAATCTAGATGAAAAACAGCTGGCCAAACTACACACAAAGGTATGCGTCGCCACAGAAATCATCTAATTCTTTTCTAAAAAATAGAAGTATAAAGTGAACATTCAAGGTGTGCTACTGGCATCTTAGTCTGTATGTTAAAGGGTCATGAAACCCCCTGTTTCAGCACGGGTTAGTTCTCACCACAGTTTTAAAAAAACGCTAAAAAAGTGGGCGTCGTGAGCTGCGGAGCGGAGGAGGGGGAAGAGGGGAGACAGACTACACAGACTGGTTTCAAATAGTTTAATTTCGCTCCCATTGAGTTAAAAACACAAATAAATGCACAGCCATTTGCACTCTGCATCGAAAACATATATATGTACACGCTGTTGCACCTTTGATAACTTTTAAGGCTTATTCTGCAGCGTTTACATAAGCCTTTTGGCGGGTTGTGTCACGGAGCTGTAAAAACGGTTACACTCACTAAATGAATGAATCACGGTTGTACCGAACTCTTATTACAAAGCAAAAACAATCTCTCCTTCGATCCATGAATGTTTCTCTATCTTAAGCTGTGTCGTCAGTCAGTCGTTTCCCATCATGCTTTTGATCAGCGCAGTCGGTGGAGAGCAACTGCGCTCGACTGCTCAATCCGACACAGCTGCCTCGCCGTCGCGAAAGTTTTTTGGCACACGTCAGCATGACATCGGAGCAAGTCGGACGTAACTCGGAGACTTTTCTAACCGGCATGCATCTCGCGGTGATCACCGGTGGGTTGTACCGAACTCTTATTACAAAGCAAAAACAAACTCTCCTTCGATCCATGAATGTTTCTCTATCCCGTCGCGAGAGTTTTTTGGCACACGTCAGCATGACATCAGAGCAAGTCGGACGTAACTCGGATACTTTTCTAACCGGCAAGCATCTCGCGGTGATCATCGGTGACCGGTTCTGCGCAGATTTTGCTCATCTCAAACAAGCCTATTGTCCTTTGCCACGTCACAAATTGTGACGTCAACACGATGTAGATTTTAAACCCGGGAGATGAAAATAGCGCGAAAAACTTCAAATTTAACCAGTTTTCTCCAACAATTAAAATTAACGGCTGCTAACATGGTCTTCTATGATGTGTAACACAAACACCTCTGCTAAATTCTCTGAAAAAGTTGTCTGGGGTTTCATGACCCTTTAAATGCGATAAGTAGCTTATCCTCAGGGCACTGCCTAGCATGGCTGTATGTGTCTCCCCCTACAGGCCAGTCTGAAGAAGTTCATGGACTACATCCAGGCCGGGGCTGTGGAAAAGGTAGCCAAACTTGTAGACAAAGGCCTTGACCCCAACTACCATGACCCTGATACAGAAGGTGAGGTGTCAGGCACTGCACTGTTCTCTTCCTGTGAGACTTAATGAACTTTCCATTAGTGAGCTGGATAATGAATTACTGCCAGCAGAGCATAAACTGGCCCACACGCATGCTATATGCAAATAGACATAGGGCTGAATGAATATTCAATGAGCATTTACAGGAATGGACATTTGCATCTTCTCAAACGATCCATGCAGTTGCCAACAAAAGTCATCTGGAGTTTAAATTATGCAACAAATGCGTAAAATTAACGTTAGACTCAGTGGCTTCCTCCTAAATAAACAAACAAAACCAATTACAACACTTGGGCTGTTTAATGAGATGAAACAATTACTGCAGCTCAACGGTTCAGTTCAATGCGTACCAACAGAGTAAAAACCACTGAATAATTTGAATGTATTTGTAACAGGGCAGCATTTTTCATGGCATATTAATTCAAGTTTTTAGCGCTTTGGCGAGCATTTGGTGAGCTGGAGACGCGGCCAGACATGCCGTGAAAGCCGCTTTATGGACCAGATGACAATGCAGTGTAATATTAGCATTCGTTTGCAGCAGAGCTTGACTTGCAAGACGGCTACCTTGAGTGTTGTTCACAGTTTGTGTCATCTGCGTTGTCACAGAGTTGATGTTGTGCTTGCCAGCCTGACAGTCACTTCTCGAAGCAGACCCTGCTAACAAGGAGTGAGAGCTGCTGCACCATTTGCAACCACTAGGAGGCTGATCCGAGAGAAAATTTCTGTTGCAATTAAAGGGATAGTTTAGGCAATAGTTCCATTTTTTGTTTGCTCACCTTCATGTCATTCCAAACCTCTTTAAGGAAAATAAATAAATACATTTAACTAATAGATATCACCATATTTCTCCAATTGACTGATTAGATTAAGAATTGCAAAACATTTTTTGTTTTATGTGTTTAAATATGCAAATGTTGCATTATCTAATTAAATTTAGACTAATTTGCATACATTTTGGATTAAGCCAGTTTCAAAATTCTTGTTTTTGATGTCTTTTTATCACTCCATAAATCAGAAAATAATGTCACTAGCCAGAAAAAAAAATCACCACTTTTTAGGAATAAAATGTTAAGTGTATATGTATAGAATGAGTAAATCATGAGGAAACAAAAGTCTTCTGTAAAATTCTTCAGAAAATAGATAGGAATAAAATTGTAAAGTTTTGTTTATGTAAATGTAACTGAGGTGGAGATTTATGGCTCACTGCCTGAGAAAAAACTCTTGAGAAAACTGCCTTTAAATATATGTATAGTGATTGAAATCTACAGATGAATATAGATAAAGTGCAACGAAATGAACACTTAAAAGTGTATTTTGGATGATTTCTTTCCACTAGTCTAAAACAATGTTATTATTAAAAGCTGAATAGCCCAAGATCTCAAACTTGACCAGTGTACGGGAGAACAATGCCTTGCCTTTTAAATAATTTACTGAAAAATATGTACTTTATGTGTATCATAAAGCTGTTAACCATTGCAGCCGAATCACTGGGTTGAACTTGGGATCTGGATCAGGCTGATTTGTGAATGAATCTTATGAATGAATCTTCGTGAGCTGGATCAATTGATTCATTAAAAATATATAACTCGAAAAGATAGTTTGTACATCATCACATCAACATGCCGACGATCTTGATCGATCAGTTGAGGCCAAAACTGTTTAGACAAACTGTTTAGACTGTTTAGTCGGCATGTTGATAATATATATATATATATATATATATATATATGTTAAGTACATGTATAAGTACATATATGGGTGACATATATAATCAACCCCTGTGAATTTTAATTTTAACCATCAGAGTCTGTAATACATATAAAAAGGTCAACAAAATTGCATGGAGTCATTAAGATTATAATCTGGAACATGTTTATTTTTTATGTTTTACAACTCTTCTTCTTACAAAATGTCCTTACCGCACGCAACGTGACAATAACGTTCATTATACACATTTTTATTTTTTAATTTCTACAATAATGTAATATATTTCAATAGCTTTTTCACATTTTGTACAGTTTTATAAATACTGACATTAAAAAATAATATACAAAATAGGGGATTTCATGGTTTTCTCTATGCCATGTAAAATTTAGACAGTAACCTTAGATGTCAATTGTTTCCATGCACACTAAAGATAACATATTTAGCTTTTTATGACAGATGTTGCAATTTCAATGTGTAAATCATTTCAACTTAAGTGTTAAAATATTTTTTTGCAAATAAAATTATGAGGAAAAAAAAATAGAATAAAGCAGAGCTGCGGTAATGACATCTTGTGTCGGTAAGGACACAATGTTAAAGTGCCATGAAATCAAAAACAGGCTACTGTAGAGAACAACAGTAAAAGAAACAGAAAACATGTAGACTGAATATTTGTAATTTAATATACAGTAAACCTTGAACTTGTCTCTACCGCAACACAAGGTCTTTACTGCAACACCTAAATTTACTGCGGTAAAGACATGTTGGGGAAATTACATTTTTGCTAATATTGCAGCTAACTGGCAGCTAGCAAGGTCTACTACATTAGTTTTGACTCTTAGCATCTTAATATACATGAATTAAACAGTAATATACATTTATTTTTCAAATGTAGTTCAAAGTACAGAATTACTAAGCTGTATGGTAAGGACACACAATAAATACTGACACAGAAAAGATGATACTTACCTTATATTTTTGGGATCTTGTGAGTGAGGTGGCCCAATCTGTCAGCATTGTGCTCACGTGCTAATTTCTGTTTCTATAGAAACTAGACTTGATTGTCTTTGATAAAATGACATAATAAAAGCCTTTTTTCATTGTTGCGGTAAGGACTCAAAAGTGTGGGACAGGCACATATACAAATCATAAAAATTATCAGTAAATAATGCAAAACAATTTAAGATGCTGTAAATTAATATGTATATTAAACAATTCCATTTGAAATAATGCCAAATTGTAATTCAATTAGCTTATTTTACATATCTCAACATTGTGACCAGAGTTGTGGCACATGAACAAAAATGATATATAAATGCTTCATAATTTTATATTAAATCGCATTATTCATTAATTATATTATTTGTCAAGGTGTGTAATGACACTGTGAATATATTTATAAA